CGCGGAGGGGCGGGGCTCCGCAGAGGGGCGGGGCCCCGGGAGGAGGGGGCTCCCTGCAGCCCGGCCCCCGCAGGGGCTCCCCCGTTTCCCCCTTCCCCATCAGCCTCATTAAGCGGCTGCTTTAATTAATGGGAGCTGCAGGCAGGACCCTGAGCGCCCACCCGGGCCCACGGCCTCAGTGCCTGGCAGCTAAAAAAGCTAAAAACATCCCCCCAAAGTCACCCCCCCACGTCATCACCACCACCCCCCCGAAGTCACCACCCCAACCCCCTACCCCCAAGGGAAAGCCACCTCTCCTCCCCACCCCAGTCACAGGTTGGTTGAGGGTGGAAGGGACCTCTGGAGATGGAGTCCAAGCTCCAGCTGGGACACCCAGTTACATCCAGGGGGGCTGGAAAAGGCTCCAGAGAAGGAGCCTCCCCAGGCAGCCTGTTCAGCCCCTTTCATGTCCAAGAGCCCCCTTCCTCAACCCCAAAGTCTTGTGTCCCACAAAAGCAGAGGCACAAGGAGGYGGCAGAGCCCTATGCTTCCCCTCCAGTCCAGTGATGGGGAACCTAAATCTAAAAATACTCCCTCACAGTCACCCCAACCCCCCCAAAAGCCCCCTGTGCCACCAGAGCAGGGACAACAGCAGAGGCCCAACCTAGTGCAGACCAGGTTGTCTCCTTTCCATCCATCTCTCCYAAGAGGATAATCACAGAATGTTCAAGGTTGGAAGGGACCTCTAGAGATCACCTAGTCCAACCTTCCTGCTCAAGCAGGCACACCTACAGCATGTGGCACAGGGCGGCATCCAGGTGGGTTTGGAAGACCTCCAGAGAAGGAGACTCCACAGCCTCCCTGGGCAGCCTGTGCCACTGCTCTCTCACCCTCACAGTGAAGAAGTTCCTCCTCACGTGGAGATGGAGCTGCCTGGGTTTCCACTTGTACCCATTGCCCCTTGTCCTGTCACTGGCCGCTACTGAGAAGAGCCTGGCCCCTTCTTCCCTGCTTTCTCCCTTCCCCCCCCCTCAGCCTTCTCTTCTCCAAGCCGAACACTCCAACTCACTCAGTCTCCCTCGTACGAGAGATATTCCAGTCCCTTAATCATCTTTGTTGCTCTCCGCTGGACCCTCTCTAGCAGCTCCATGTCCCTCTATACTGGAGAGCCCAGAACTGCACACAGTACTCCAGGTTTGGCCTCACCAGACCTCAGTAGAGGGGCAGAATCGAGGGAGGCCTCAACCTGCTGGCACCATCCTCCTGATGCAGCCAGGAGCCCATTGGCCTTCTTGGCCACAAGGTCCCTGCTGCCTCATGGTCACCTTGGTGTCCACCAGGACTCCCAGGTCCCTCTCTGCAGGGCAGCTCTCCAGCAGGTCAACCCCTAATCTGTGCTCGTGCCTGGGGTTATTCCTGCCCRGGTGCAGGACCCTGCACTTGTCCTTRTTGAACCTYATGAGGTTCCTCTCTGCCCAGCTCTGCAGCCTGTCCAGATCCCTCTGGATGGCAGCACAGCCATCCAGAGCATTGGCCACTCCACCTACCTTGGTGTCATCCACACACCTGCTCAGGGTGCACTCAGTGCCCTCRTCCAGGCCATTGATGAGCAAGTTAATGGGCATCCTCACTCCCTTCTCCCCAAAACCACCACGCAACCAACCCCCCCAGCCCCTGCAATGAGAGCGCACAAGGGTCTTTGCTGCAACGTGTTTATTTATGTGCCAAAAACTACACCACAGCTTACTCCACGCGTCGGTAGGAGAGTGCAGTCTTGCCTGCATATACTACAATGAGGTAGAGACTTCACACACAGCTTCACGAAACCCCACAAAGAGCAGCTGGGATATGCAACGATGCAACATCAGCTCAGCAGGAAAGAGGGGGGAAAAAATAAGAAAGAAAGAGGGGGAGAAAATCATGACACTGGTTCTTTGGCACACAGCTTCCGATAGAGGGGAAAAGTAAAAAGAAAAAAAAAGAGAACGGAAATTTCTCAAGTTCTCAAATCCCAGCAGCATTTCAGTCGACTGCACTGTTTTACTTCATACGTTTCCTCGAACAAAAAGTACTTGTCCCCTCTAAGAGAAAGGGCTCCTATGAACCTTCATCCGTCCACCAAAACGCAGCCCTTTTAGCTAGTTACAAAAGAAAAAAAAAAATAAAGTAAGTCTGGTGACTTTTGTGATTAAAAACCTCTATCAACCCCCCTGAAGTGCAACTTAAAAAAGTGCAACAAACTATTTAAAACTATATACAGCAGCTCAGAGATCGTTTATCCGGTCCAGTTTCGAATCCAAAAAGCCCGTCCTTGGCCGTTGCAAACCCCTCGATTTACAACTCCCCACCAGCAGCCCCCAGACACAAATTGCAATAATGTTAAAAGCTGCCAGGAAAGAAAAAAATCTCTCGTTTCAAACGACTTAAAAACTGTTTTTAAGAGTGTAAAAAGGAACTGGTAAAAACCCTCGAGCGTAAAATATGAAATATGATTTGGTTTAAATGAAGAGCAAAGTCTCCTTGTTGTTACAGTAAAAAACGCCAGCTGAACATTCAGTTTATGCCGTTCAGATGGGGGTTAAATGAATGGAAAGGCACTGTATGGCAACTGCAAAAAAATGGAGCCAATGAGACCTGCATTATTACCATCAGTATTGCAAGGAATGTAAAAAAGCGCCTTTAATAAATAAAAAAACCTAGGTGAAGGCATCTGCGTAAACACCTTCTCAACACGTGGCCCTTTTTTTGCTTCTCGTCAGCAAACTAGGAACCAAAGTCTGGGAACTGCAGAATCGCTTGAGGGGCGCTCCCCCCCCTCAGAATAACAAAAAACCCCAACCAAAACCCGACGAAAAAGGAAAAAAAATAATATTTCCACTGTGCATTAGTGCAGAAACAAAAAGAGACCAGCAAGTGCAAACGTGAATGTAGGATTTTTTTTTTCCCCGTTAGTCCTCAGGAAGCGCGTTCCCAGCCCGGGCCTGGCACCAGCAGGCGCGCTCGCGCGCTCTCCCCTCGGCAGGCGAGCACAAGGCCTCGCTCCCGCGCCCGGCGGCGCCCGAGCCGCRGCGGCCCCTTTAGCTGGAGTCCCGGTTCTTCTGGTTGCGCATGAGCGGGCGGTGGTGGCGCAGGAGCTCCATGGAGTGCTGCCAGTGCCAGCAGGAGCGGCAGAAGTACTTGAAGCAGATCTAGGGGAGGAGAGGAGCCCGTCTGAGCCGGGCCCGGACCGCCAGCCGCTTTCCCGGCCGGGCATCCCGGGGCATGGGGAAGCAGCGGGTCTCCGCTCCCTGCTCCCGAGCCACAAAGCGGCTCTTTGGCAGCTGCCCGAGTGGCAGGCAGGGAATTTCAGCAATGCTGCAGGCGGGCGGCGCATTCTGCAGCCTGGCGCTTTTTAAAACAGGGCTTTGAAGCCCTAAGCTCTGCGAACAGCAGCCAGCCAGAAGCAGCAGCGTTGTGGATCAGCCCTAGACCAAGTGCAGCATCCGGCTTCGGCATCCCAGCTGGAGGCGGCAGCCCCAGCGCCCTCGGCAGCACCAGGGCTGCTCTGCAGAGGCGCGTGCCGGGCGGCAGCGCGGGCGCAGCCRGGGCTCACTGAGCGAGCTGCTGGCACCTAGTCCCCAGCAGTGACTCAGCAAGGACAAACGGGCATCCCCGAGCGCTCCAGCAGGAACGGCAGCACCCGCTCCTCCCGGAGAGGAGCCCCGAGGGAGCAGAGCGCATCGGGAGACAAAACCGTTACCTGGTCTCTGCAGAAGAAAGGGCCTGGCTGAGCACTGCAGACTTGACACATGGAGTCTTCTAGATAGGGGTCGATCTGAACCTGCATCATATCGGAAGAGTCAGGGCRGTGCTAGGCGCAGCTCCCAGCTGCGCTGAGCAGCCCCAGCCCATGTCTCCCCAGCACAGGGGGTCACCAGCACCCACCCCAGGCAGAGCTGCCCTTGCCCATCACCACCCTCTGCTTTTAGAGGGGACACAGCACAGAACACATGGGTCACGTCACCCACAGGAGCAGCCTCTCCCAGCACGTCAGGGCAGTCCCGGCCCAGCCTCTCCCTTGAGCTCCGCTCACCTTCTTGGTGAACTTGGTAGTTTTGATTTCCACGAACGCAGCCGTCACCGCCTTCAGGTAACTGCGCTGGTTGTTGAAGGTAACGCGGCCAGACCCTGGGACAAGGCAGACAAGAACAGTGACAGGAGGCAGGGAGCAGCCACGCTCGTGGGGAGCCCGGGGGCTTCGCCTGCCTCCTCCCTACGCAGGAGCAAGGGCAGAGACGGCAGCAGAGCGCAGAGAAGCTTCCGTGGGCCAGGACAGGGGCCCGGGTGGGCGCCGAGGGCAGCGGCGCAGGCGGCAGCGCCGGGCGGGCCGCGGGCAGGGAGCCAGGGCACCGCCGGGGCGGCCCGCGCGCCTGGAACAGCCTGGTGCCGACACAGCTCAGCAGCTTTTATTTTAAGCCTCCCACTCTGAATTCTTGCATTCTGCATCTTCGTTGCCAGTCAGCAGCGCTCCTGCGCCGCTCGCTTCCAGCCGAGCCTGTGAAGCTATGGAAAGCATCTTTGCTTCCCCAAGAGCTCCCTTCCTCAGCGCAATGAGGGCTTTGGCTGCTACAAGGCAGTCTTGCCCACGGGCAGATGTGGCTGCTGCCAAATCCCTCCCCGACAGCCACAGTGCAAGGCTGAAACCCAGAGCCTGTTTTACCCCTTGGCATCTGCTCACGGGCTGTGGTGTTGAGTCCTTGGCTGGATCTGGCTCAGCCATTTCACAGCACACACGTCACTGCACTGCTCAAGGAGGTCCTTCCTCTGAGGAAGGTCAGCTCCACTTCCTCACGGGACCCTCCGAAAGCTACAGCTGGTTCTGCCCATTTCAAGGGTGGTTCTGACCCCTTCTGCACCTATGGGCTAGGTCAGACACTGAGCAGCCCCACACGATGCCTCCAGCAGGACTATCCTCTGCACAAGGAGCCACAACGAGGCAGGTTATGCACATGTGGTGAGCACACAAGCCCAGGGCAGTATCTCAGCACATGAGCATCCTCAACACCAAGTTAAGCTACTGCATCTCAGGTAAGAACTTGAAGCCTGGGAGCATCAAGCAGCCATTCAGGGCCAGGGATYTCCCACTGCAGGGAACAGTCTGGGCTGTACAGGAAGCCACCAAAGGTTTCATGGCCATGTTCTCTAACCTCGGAGAGCCAACATGGAGCAAGTAGATATGCTTCATGCAGGGTCACCTAGAAGCTAGGACATGCTCAACATCTTATAGCTCCTGGGCCTGTCAGCCCAAAGCCACTTTGCAGGTTAAGGGTTGCTGTAGCACCAGCACATCCTGCACCCAGGCCATCTGTGTGTTGCTTTGCACACCAAAGCTCAACCAGAGCAGCTCAGGAGGGTGATCAGCGAGGCACTGCACTTTCAAAATAGAACAAGAGGGAGGATCTTAGTGCTTCTGACTTCGGTTCCCCCTGGAGACCCAAAGCACCAGCACCCTCAAGGAAAACGAAGGGAGCACCGGGGACTGGGCACTGCCCACAAGTGCAGGGTCAAGCGAGCTGCTCACACCCTGCTCCGGGCTTCCTGCTGCCCACCCAGCCAGAGGGGACAGGGAGGGGATGAGCTGACATCAAGCAGCAGACCTGCAGCTCTGTGCCTGCTCTGGGGACAGAGCAGCATGTAAGGACTGTTAGCAGCTGCCTCTGCACACAGCCCCGAGAGCAGAAGACCCTCCAGCAATGCTTAAGGATATTTAAAGCCTGAACTCTTGTGGAAGGCTCTCAGACCTTCCAGTTGCCAACAGGGCAGCCCTGCCTTTCCCTCCCCAAGGCTGCTTTTCCCTCCTCACAGCCAAGTGAAAGGCACTGCCTGCAGCTGGACACCTGGTGGGGYCTTCCCTCCTGAGAGGAGCTTGTCCAACAGAGCTTCAGGGCACCACAAACCCTTGCTCGTTGACGAGGGCCAAGCAGAGCTGGCTCATCCTCCCCAGGGCACCTCAGGACAACTGCTGTGCATGGCAGGGTCAGCCCTCACCAATGGGATACTTGTGCTTGTCCGTGTCGATGCCGGCGTAGACGACGCCTCCGAAGAGGTCGTACATGACAGCTGCCAGGGCCTCGGCGTTGAGCATCCCGTGCAGGGCCCCCACGAAGACGGTCTTGCTGGGATCCAGCCGCTGCGACGGGCTGCGCACGAAGTTGCTGTCTGCCAGCACCCAGGGGATCACCTGCACCTGCAAGCACACACAGCCGGGTCAGCAGAGCCAAGGACCTGCAAGGGCACCCAGCTCAGCAAGGGCAATGCTGTCCCCTCACTTACAGCTGGAGTTAAGAGACTCAGGCTGCATTATTCCTGCTCTGAAGCAAGCAGATACTGTAGCTGATGGCAGAAACCCTTCCAAGCCCTCACAATGCAACTCCTCTCTCACAGACACCCCTTGATTCTTGCTGGCTGGGGGCTGCATTCAGGGCAATAAAGCTCAGACTCCCTTGAGCAGGCACTGACTCTCCTGAGGATCATAAAGGCCAAGCTGGAATCCAAAACACCGKTCCCCTGGGGCTGACATCCAGGAAACAACCCAGGCAAGACTGGATTTTACCTACGGTCTGCACCTACGCCGATGTCTCCCTGC